TGGAGGCAGCATCAGCACCTTTAACCACACTTGTCAGCCTTAAAGGCAGCTCTGCTTTTACTTATTTCACCAGAAAGACTCACAGAATTACAGGGGAGACAAAATCTCATTTGCAGAGCGCCGCAGCTGAGCACAGGAAGCTTAAATCAGATTATAACATTCAGAAAACATACTGGTGACCTTTCACTCTGTTAACCACACACAAGGAGCTCATCATCCACCTAAAAATGCAACCAGTTCAATTAAGGTGGGCAGAGACTCCAGAAATGTTAATAATGTCAAACCATACCCTAATGCTGCTATAAGCCTTTATCCTGCTGTTTTTATTTACTGTATATCTAACTCTGTGAAGGAAACCATGAGCCATTCATGAGGTATTGGGGCTTATATTGTGCATTTGCCACTTATGGTGATGAGTTTAAAGCTGCAGTAGGTTCACTTTTAGAAAAATAACTGTATCTCATATTTGCTGAAATCTCCACTGTGTCCTGACAGTAGTACAGGTAATCTGTGAACAAATCAGCTTCCTCTGGCTCATTTTAGTGCTCCTAATGGGATTTGCAAGAATCCAACTGGCCTGAATGAAAACAACCAATCGGAGCCGAGAAAGATATAAAAACGCTTTGGGTTGATTGCTGAGTCGCATTCTCAAATTGTCTGTATTTGATGCCCTGGGAATGAGACAAAATATGACAACTAATTATTTTATAAAAATGACCTAGTGGAGCTTTAAATAAAATCACTGACAGCTTTGTCAGTTTAGGTTGCTGACGACGTTATATTTGGTGGTTTTACTTCATAATGCAGCCTATATATGAATAGAACATGTATGTATTAATAAGAGTGGTGGAAGGATATGTTAAGTAGTCTGATATTCCAGTATAACTAAATTGCATTGAGCTTGAAGACTGTTGTGTTGTTGTTGTTCTTAAACCACCTAAAGATTTTCAAAATCAACAAGGCGCCACAGAGAAAGCTCATACCTGCTAATTCGTCCGGTTCCAGTCCAGTTTCTGTGTCTATCCCACAAATAACAAAGTAGTGGGCGAAGCGGCAGGGCGCCGCGCCGGACACCGCGGAGCTCCCACTCATCCCGGGTTCGGTGTGCAGCGCTGTCCGCACCTAGTTCTCCAAGCGACACATGTCCAGGAAAAAAAGGGGGGGAACTGGATAAAACGCTCGAGGAAAGGAAAAACACTTCTGCCTCGGTTCCTGGTTGTTAAAAGAAGCTGTGTGACACACCGAAGTCGCCTTTAAGGGTTCCCGTGATAGTTCGCTTTCTGAGAACCGTGTCAGCGGAGCTTCCAGACACACTACTAACGGTGCAGGAGGGGAGAGCGGTGTGACTCTCCGCCTCGGTGGAGCTCGGAGGAGTCCGCTGGCAGGGCGGGATATTCAAATCCAGTCTGTAGTTCACTCCATTCAGTCGGTTCACACTGGGACAGAGGGCCGCGGTTGGTTGTTTTCTTTGTAATATTGTAACAGAAAGTCGTCATTTGGCCGTCGCTCGAGCCTCATATCGCAAAAAAATCACGTGCGGCCGCATTATACACATATTAATGCGCTGACCAACGTCATCACGCAGCTACAGTGAAGTGCTGAAGGAGCGTAGCCATTCTTTATGATCTGACAGCTGTGCTATTAAAGACAGTCCAACTTCAATGAAAGACAAGCTCATTACCTCATTAACACATTACCTGCCAGTTCAAGCTCATTACCAGTTGAATTACTAAACAAGAATGACATTATAGAACATCCAACTGAATCTTTACATGCAGAATACCAACATGCTGTTTGTTTTTTTCCTGATATTTTTATCAACTTTTTATACATCTTTCTGTCTGTACTGTTTATTTTTTATTTGGCCATTGTTCTATTAGTGCTGCATACATTTCTAAGGCCAACGGTGTATATTAAGTTGTCTTAAGTTTAAAATGAGCATGGCCTTGCAACGCACCATGAAGCTTTGGTGACCCCTAATGAGGGTCCTGACCTCCAGGTTGGGAACCACTGCTCTATGTCAACTGCTCCCTCTCAGACACACTGACCAGTCACACAACAACACTGCTTTCAACAACACCAATCAGAGTAAACAAAATTATAAGACAATATAAAGAAACCTTAAGGAACATTGGAAAGAAGAAACTAAAACCTAAAGTAGATTCAAACGTTTGCTCATAGAAAGAGATTGGGAATTGGCAGAATATCTCGTTACTGTCATGGCAAAAAATCATGGGAACCAAAAGAAAATTAATATGAATATGTGGTCGCTGTTGGACAGGTGAGGTTGAGACCTAGATGCACTTCCTCCGACACTGTAAAACATTAGATAATATAAGGAACATTTATTTAAACAGATTAAACTCTGTAACCCCAGATTTCAACAAGCTAAATGACCACATTAATGTATTAACAAGCCACAACCTGAGGGACAGTGAGTGACCTGGACACATTCACAGTTGGAAAGGTTCAGGTTGTATCCCGCTAAATGGGACAACTATGCCACCTGCTGTTGTAAATGTGTCCCACTGGGTAGTAATAGCAAAGGAATTTGACATCAATGCTCTGTTACCCAGCTGGCAGCTGCAGCTGATTGAGAACTCTGCAGCCCAAGTGCTTAAAGAGAACACGCTTTTTTTCTAAAGTCCTTACATTGGTTGCCTGTCAGTTTCCATATTGAGTATAAAAATCTGTCACAAGTCTGGTAAAAACCTTTTAGCTTTTATGCTCTGAGCCGCTGGAAGAGTCTGCCGGAAGATCTGAGAGCAGGAAGAGTTGAAACTAAACTAAACTTAAAACCTGGTTTATAGACAATATTTACTTTATTTTATTCCCCTATTTGATTTCTGTTTGATGTTATTTTATTATTTAAATTTTTCTAATCCCTCTTAAATGTATTTACTTGTTGGTTTTTATTTTGTCCTCAGATTGTGAATTGGCAGAATATCTCTCTACTGTCAGAGACAGAAAGCAGATCCTAACCAAGTACAGGCTCAGTGACCACAAACTGGCAATCGAAACAGGAAGACACAAAAAATCATGGCAACCAAAAGAAAACAGAAAATGTGGTCACTGTTCGACAGGTGAGGTTGAGACAGAGATGCACTTTCTCCTACAATGTACAAACACTGGACTAAGCTTTGGTGACTTGAACTAGAATGGTTTATAGACAATATTTACTTTATT